GGCTTGAAATGACAGTTTATCCAGACTGACTGTCCCGAGTTAGTGATCAATTAATTTTTATTGAGATCAACAACTTCCACCGCACTCGGATTCGGAATTGGAATCGATAATTTTATGCGGTATCGAATACTCCAAGTTAATGTTATTGATCATTCATGAGATTTGAGTACACTGTGACTGTATCAACATGGCGGCCATAACACAGCATTTTGAGTCCTTCAAGGAAAGACTGGACAAAGTCTTGCATGAAAAAAATAAGCTGAATGATATCTTGGAGAAGATCGAGCAGAAGACTGGTGTTCGAAGGCTGTATATTGCGTTGGGTATGCTAAAGACAAGTTATTTTTGTTTGATTTGTGTCACTTTATATCTCTGCAGACGAGTCACTAACGAGTGAGTAAAGTTACACGTTTCCACCGAACCTCCAATCCAAGCCTGTGAGTGAGCTAGATTCTCTAGATCTATTTGCCTGCCAGCAGCAAGCATGTCCGAGGGGAATCTAGTTTTATCCAGGTCTATAGATCTAGGGATCTATAGAGTCTATATCTAGATCTAGATTCTAGATCGTCTATATCTGTTCTGTGTTAAAGTTCTATAATAAAAAGTCTATGGCAGGTTTCACAATTGGCCACCTCTATATTTAGGTTAGTGCAGGCGAGTCTTGTGGCTATTCTCACCCGGTGCGCGTTCACCAAATTTTGCGTTCACCCTAAACCACAGAATTCTACACTGTGATAACAGAAAAATTGTAGAATTCTGTGCCGTGAACAAACGTTCCATTACAACTGTAGCCTACTACTACTAAATTTGCGCTTTTTCGGTAGTTCCCACCCCCCTTATTTGATAGAGCCTGACCTACATCTAGATCTAGATCTATATACGTTGGATTCGCGGCAAGCTAAGATGTCAAACCTAACAACTGCAAAACATTAAATTGTGGTAAAATTCAGGGGGGCATGCCCCCCTGAAACCCCCCACCTTGTTTTTATTAGGTCAGGGGGGCAAGCCCCCCTGAAACCCCCCTACTCTTGGCCAAAACCGGCGAATAACAAATGCGGGGTGGGAACTACCGAAAAAGCGCCCAATTTTGTCTGTGGGCAGTGGAGAGAGAGAGGAGTAGCGCGAGAATTTCCGGGCAAAACAAAATGGCGACCCGCGTAGTTCGGCTCGATTCGAAAAGTTAAATAGCCGTAGCATCTTTATAGTCAACCAAATTTATTTACTTTTGTGTTTTAACATCATTTTTTAACTTTGTTTTGGTCAATTTGATCGTCCACACCGATAGACAGTATTCAGAAAGAGAGAGAGAGAGAAGAGGGGAGGAGTTGATCTTGCGAGAACTTCCGGGTGGGTGAAAATAGCCACTTTCTTTAACATCATTTTTTAACTTTGTTTTGGTCAATTTGATCGTCCACACCGATAGACAGTATTCAGAAAGAGAGAAGAGGGGAGGAGTTGATCTTGCGAGAACTTCCGGGCGGGTGAGAATAGCCACTTTCTTCACAATTTTATGCACACTGAGTCACTGAGGTGGTGAGATATTTCAATGCCTATAAGTTTAGGCCACCTCTATTCTCACCCGGAGTGAGAATAGTGCAGGCGAGTCTTGTGGCTATTCTCACTCGGTGGGCGTTCACCCTAAACCACAGAATTCTACACTGTGATAACAGAAAAATTGTAGAATTCTGTGCCGTGAACAAACGTTCCATTACAATTTTGTAGCCTACTAAAAGCGTACAATTTTGTCTGTGGGCAGTGGAGAGAGAGAGAGAAAGAGAGAGAGGAGTAGCGCAAGAATTTCCGGGCAAAACAAAATGGCGACCCGCATAGTTCGGCTCGATTCGAAAAGTTAAATAGCCGTAGCATCTTTGTAGACAACCAAATTTATTTACTTTTGTGTTTTAACATCATTTTTTAACTTTGTTTTGGTCAATTTGAACGTCCACACCGATAGACAGTATTCAGAAAGAGACGGAGAGAGAGAGAAGAGGGGAGGAGTTGATCTTGCGAGAACTTCCGGGCGGTTGAGAATAGCCACTTTCATAAGTTTATGTTTTGTTGAAATAAACAATTTTTCAAACTGTGTTTGTGTTGTGTTTGCTTCAAAGAAACTAGAAAACCATTAAAATTTGGGCCACCTCTATTCTCACCCCGGGTGAGAATAGCGCAGGCGAGTCTTTTGGCTATTCTCACCCGGTGTCCGTTCACTGTTATAGCCTAGATCTAGGCTAACCAATTTTGCGTTCACCCTAAACCACAGAATTCTACACTGTGATAACAGAAAAATTGTAGAATTCTGTGCCGTGAACAAACGTTCCATTACTACTGTTAGCCTACTAAAAGCGTACAATTTTGTCTGTGGGCAGTGAAGAGAGAGGAGTATGCCTAGCGCGAGAACTTCCGGGCAAAACAAAATGACGACCCGTGTAGTTCGGCTCGATTCGAAAAGTTAAATAGCCGTAGCATCTTTGTAGACGACCAAATTAATTTACTTTTGTGTTTTAACATCATTTTTTTACTTTGTTTTGGTCAATTTGATCGTCCACACCGATAGACAGTATTCAGAAAGAGACAAGAGAGAGAGAAGAGGGGAGGAGTAGATCTTGCAAGAACTTCCGGGCAAAACAAAATGGCGACCCGTGTAGTTCCGCTTGATTCGAAAAGTGAAATAGCCATA